GGCCTTGCACCCGGAGTGCCCACCTGACGTCGTTTGTGCCAGACGGCACTTCATGCTTAGCACCAGCGGTGCAACCGCATGGGCGGGACCTACTCTCGACCGCCCCAGCGCGCCGGCGGCCACTTGCAGGGCCGCTTCTGGTCTTTGGTCAGCATGGAGCTACTCGCGTTCGTCTGGGCGCACCGTCAACGCCGCTGCGCCCCCCGCTCTCTCAGCACAACCTTTGCTGACGACAGCATCTCTAGTAGTCTACTGCGGCCTCCGCTGGGGGCCTGCGGCGATCTCGAGGCCACCGCCGCTTCTGACCGCCTCTCGGGTCAAAAGACCCTCCCAGGTCGCGGGATGGGTGCTGGGCTCAGGCTTCCATGCCCAGATCCCCCAGCTGGCACGCAACCTAAAGCCTCGTTGAGATCCAAGGGCGCACCGAGCTAGTTGGCAGCTGCATCAACTTCGAGGCGGAGCCGCTGACGGCGCGTGTCCCGAGGCATGCCGTCGAACTGAATGCCATCGCCCAAAGAGAAACCATCCTCGTGGTCCGACGACAGGTCCGTCGTGACCCCGAGCTAGTTCGCCAGGCCGTCGACCTCAGGAACCATGTCCAGGCCGCGCACTGTGGCGGACCAATTGGTCGCCTCGCCCAGGCCCTTCAACAGTGCTTCTGGACTTGGACCGACTGCGGCAGTTTTTGCGACGATTGGGGCAATCGGATTAGTTGGGCGCGCGAGCCCCAGGGCGCTCTGCTCCACATGCTGCGAGCCATAACCTGGTCACGACGGGCCTTCCTCAACAAAAAGCACGCGCGCCATGACCTGGTCACTTCCCAAGGGTTAAGCACGGCATGTGCATCTTCGCCACCGCGTGGCTGGCCCGCGTCAAAGGAGTTAACTCATCACCACCTGGCAACGAGGCCTCCCCTACAACTACCTAGCGGGTGGCGACCATGCCCAGCAGCGCTGCGCGCGCTCCAGTATATCCGCCGACCCCAGCCCATGGTGCAGGCGCTGCCACACTGACGAAGAAACCCTAGAACACACCATCTGGAGGTGCCCATGCTGGGAGCCCGAACGACGGCCCCTCACCGCGATGATCTCTGACGATCAATGGGCGGTTCTTCCGCCGCGCGCGGCGCTGTGGCCTCATCGACGGATCTGCTGAGCTCCTGGATCTCCGAGCTGAGCTAACCGGGGGCCCGCTTCCTCAACCCTTTCCTCGACCCTCGCCAGAGGGCCCTGGCGGCGGCGACACCTTCGCCACTTATATTGACCCTGACGGCAGCCAGTGGGCCTGCGCGAGCACCGACGGGGCCTGCTGGCACCCGGCCGTCCAACTGCTGGCGCGCGCTGCCTACCGCGGCAGCGGCCGCCGCTGGAAACGCGCCGCACGTGTCTACGGCCTTGCCCAGAACGCGCGGCGAGCCGAGACCTGCGCCCTCCTCCAGCCCACCGACGCTGCTGAACGCCCTGTCCACATATTTGTGGAAAACCGAGCCGTCGTCGACGGCTCCCGGCGAATCTTGAACGGCCTCCCTCCGTCATCGGACGGGGCGCAGAGTGATCCGCGGGCCCGCCTAAAACGCTGCGTGCCAGCTAAACCTGGCCACCCCGAATGGAAAAGGTCACGAATCATCTCTGGGGCGAGGGCGCGCGCGAAAACCGCCTCAATGTCGTCGCGGAAGAGTTCAAGTGCCAAGCCGATCGCTTGTCCACGGACGCGATTGCCCTCCATCACTTCCCGCCCCACCTGATTGAAGAAGCCAAGCGGTGCCACTGCTTCGCGGTTGTGCTCCGCAGCGTTGAGGTCGCCATTTACGAGGAACGGCACTGTGCGCTACCGCTGTGCCACAGATGAGCAGGTTTCACAAGCGCTCACCTGGGCCAGCTCGAGCCAAGCCCCATGCTTACCATTGCTTGTCTGGGGCGCCCAATGCGACGAGGAGGGCCCGCTTGGCTTCGGCGGGGGCATGGGCGACCTAGACTCCCCGCCCATACAAACGCCGCCGACGCAGTTCCGACGACGATTGCCCTTCGCCTCTTGCCCAGGGACACTGGTCTCAGTCGTGCCTACTGGAGACCCCGAGGCCACGCCCCCCGACGACGGGGTTGATGGTGTGCCAGGTGAAGGTACCGACCCAGGGGCACCGACCATAATCGCGCCCACGGGGGAGCTTGTCCCGCCACCTTACCACTGCAACGCTGATGCCGACGCGCCGACTAGGGTGAGGCCCCCCCCGCCGATCCTTAGGATGGGGTCGAGCGCTAGCCGCGCCACCCCCAAGCGCGAAGTCCTCGGTAAACAAACAGGAGAAACCCGCGCCGAGGGAGCCGCGACGCAGCTCCCCCCAGACAAAGGGCAGATAACTGCCCTCGCCTCAAGCCGAAACGAGTCGACCCGGAGGTCAGACAGGCCACGGGCAAACTTGGTTACGACCACGCTATGACCCACGCTTGAACCGGCGACGACCTGGCCTGAGGTCGAGCCGGTGGACGCGCAAACAATTGACAGGCACGACCACAACAAGCGCCCGCACAGCGTGGCTTCTCACGCGGGCCCCCCGCGGGGCAGGCGCCCACCCTCAGACCGAGGGCGTGACAAGGGCACGCCCCCGCCCCCGACTACCGTCCGCGCCCAGAGGCCGCGCTCTGGGCCCGGCCCGGGAACTGGCTCCCCGCCCAAACTCAAGCACCCTACTGACCCAGTCACAGGCTCCTCCACCGTCAATACGGGTCCCTGCCGCGCCGCCGACCCCTGCGGTGCCGACCCCCAACCCCCCGCGACGGAGCGGGCCATGCGCCCCCTGCCGGTCCGCGGGATCCTGCGGCGCCGCCTTGCGGCGGCCCCAAGGCTGAACCAGTGCCCGCGCGAGGCGTCGATCGTCGCGCGGACCTTGCCGCGCACTTCGCCAGCAGAGCTGCCCCGAGCTGCGCGCCACGCCGCGCTCCGAGCTCAGCCCAAGGCCGAGCTGCCGAGCTGCGGGAGTCCTACGACTCCGCGTGTTATCAGTTCTCTACCCTCCTTTGCCAGGTCCGCGCGCTTACCTCCCAGCAAGGACTGCGCGTGCAGCGCCTCCACCGCGCGCGCGCGACGCTTTCGCGACCCTTTCCCCGAACCTCGCGCCTGACGGGTCGGCGCCCGCCCACGCGCTGCGCGACCTTCCAAGGGCCGTGCGCGCCCGCAGAGGGCTCCCACACAGCCTTCAGGCCCGCCCTCCGCCAGCCCGGTCCCCCGCGCGGCCACGCGTCATTGTTATCTGGCTGCGGGGGCGGGCGGCGCCCGGTTTTCCGCAAGCCGCGTAGCGGCCTAGCCCTTGCCCCGCCGGCGCCAACCAGGGCTCTGCCGACCTGGGCCCCTTCTGCCGTGGGGCGCCGAGAGACGCGGCGCATCGCCTGCGCAGCACCCCGCCTTTTAACTTCGTCGCTTTGCGCCAAGGGCGGTGGTTTCGATGCCCCCGCACCCCAAGTTGGGCACCGCCATTATGCGTGCAATGGCGGCCTTGGCTACCGCAGCAGCCAGCTGTCGACGGGACTCCCGTTAGCTTGTCCGATCTCTCTCTTTCTCTCTCTCTCTCTCTCTCCTTCTCTCTTTTTGTTCCCCTTTCTTTCTCTCTCTCTCTCTCTCTCTCTCTCTTTTTCTATATATATATATATATATATCTATATATCCCCCTCCCGTCTCTCTTTGTCTCTCTCTCTCTCTCGTCTTCCCCCCTCTCTTTCTCGACATGTGTATTTGCGCTCGCTGCTATTCTGCCTGCGCGGAAGGAATGGCGGCGGACAGTGGCGAAAGTACATCGAGGTTGCCTCCGTTGATGGTCGTCGGCGGAATTACGCAACTGGCTTCCGCGGTGCGCATTCGTGTGGGCCCCCATTTTTTGTAACGATCCGCATGCATGCATATTCGTAGTTATTGCCTATAGTTGTGTATGTCTGTCTGCGTACCTACGCATGTGCAGTTGTATCACTACACCTACTCTTCCACATGTAGTATCACATTACCTACAAACCTGCACGCACACACACACACACCTACGCGCCTTAACACCAAGTGCCATGGATGGGCCCCGTGAACCTTGCGAATCAGCAGTCGGGTCCCGCGGGAGGGGGCGATCCATTGGGTATTGCGAAAATACACTCGGGCGGCAGAGCGGTTCCCCTGGGCTTTGCGAAGGGACTGTTGGGCTTGGGGTGGGGCCCGTCGGCTCTGCGAAGTGATGGTGTTTTTTTCTGCGAAGGGGCAGTCAGATGCCAGGGGGAGTGTGGGGGGGGTCCTTCCTTGGGATGACCCCGTTTGGGTGCGGCGGCGCCGGGGAGGGGAGGAGGATCGTCGGGCTCACCCCCCTGATTGTTTGAGCCGTCCACTCGCTGGGTTCTGCTCCCTTAGAACTTCACGGGTTCGCGTCGCTGTGGTTGGGAAATTAAATTCCCTTGGGGCGGAAGTCCGCTTTCGTTTGGGGAAGGGACGATCACTTTTCCTGGATGGGAGAAGTGAAAGAGGGAGGGCCGAGGGCACGGTGGACGAGGACGGGGAGGCGGCGGGAGAGGAAATCGGAGAGTGAGGGCTGTGACGGCCCTCCGCCGTAGCCAGGCAAAAACATAACCACAGCTGTTCCTTGTCTGTCTACGACACCTCCTGTCATGGGTGTGGCGGAGCGCTTCCTGGGTTGGGATTTTCGAGGCACGGTTGACAGTTCACCAGGGTTGGAAGCCGTCGGCGGGCCTTTGGAGGGGAATGTTCTAAGAGTTGCCCAGAGATCCGAGACGGCTCCCAAAGGACATAATGCGAGTCCAGGCGCGGTTTGGCAGATTCAGAGCGACCTTCTCGAAGATGGCCCCAGAACGGTGCCGCAAGAGAGCCCCAAGAGAACCCCAGATGGCCCACACCCATACAAGCCTCTGGACCTCAGTGGGTTTCCACGCGTGTCTGGGGCTCTTGGCTCCAGGCGGCTCCAGGACCGCTTGGGAGAGGCCATGAGGCCCCGAAGATGCCCCGAAGAAGCCCAAGGCCTTCTCCGCCGCCTCCTCCGCCTCGTTTCCCCGTGTCCTCCTGTGTCTCTCCCCCTCCCGGGCACCCCCTTCCGCTCCAGGGTACCACCACTGTGGCCGACAAAGACGTCGGCCACCGTGCTTCCGGACTCCGACAAAGATCGTGCATTTCTTCGGTTGCCCGACGCGCTTGTCGACGCACGGTACGTTGGCTGTTTTCGGGCCGATCACGGCAGTAGCGAGACGGGGTTCTTGCCGAGGGAAGAAACACGATGACCGTGAAGCAGATGCCGTGGGATCGTGTCGAAGTCGATTTTTAATCATGGTCTATGCTGGCCGCCGCCTGTTCACCAGGATGATCCGCGAACTGAGGATAACCAAGATGGACGCTGACCAAGTCCGACACGGCCATTATGCTTGCAGTCTTGGTCATGGTCGCCGTGTTCTTTCCCTCCATGTTGTGCTTCCCTTACTCTGCGCCATTCCGCTCATGCCGAGTGATCTTCGGCGTCTGGTACGCGTGCAGCTGTAACAGGGCCCTGGTTTGTCGGCGTCCCCGCCTGCAGGGCCCTGAAGTATACGTAGTGCGTTGACCTCAGGCGTGCTGATTGTCCCATTTAATTCAGCGCTCGCTTGGGCGATGATCCGCCGTGATCTGGCAATATTGTATCGTTAACTCCCATGGTTTCGTTATGCCTGCGACGACAGGCGCTGAGCACGAGTTATTCTTAGCGCAGTCGGTTCGCTCATTGCGGTTGGCACAACGTCA